AGGCTAGGGTGGAGGAGATACACACAAATACACACTAAGTAAATGAGAATTTAAAAAGCAGTATTGGACAAGCTAAAATCTGAGTCAAAATCCTAAAATAAGAAATGAAAATGAAATTAGTTCTAAGTGAAAAGGTAACAAAGAATTGTCACTATGTGTATATTATAGTCTCATATATCAGCTTCTATAACAAATCCCAAAGCACGAGTTTATATGGTCAATCTTTATATATATTTACTGAAGAATTTCAAGATCAACAAGAGGAATCACATGGTGTAGCACATAGCCTCACATTTAAAAAAAAAAAAAATCTTTTAAGACCTGGTTCTTCAATCACATCCTCTGGAAACACCATGCATACAAGGTTCTTAGCCTCTTCTCACCCACACAAGCTACAACTGTACCCCAAGGCCTTGTTCTAGATGAGGGGATGGAAACTTGAACAATGCAAGAAACACCCATGGTCTGGGGATGACTTCAAGCAAATGGAGGAGACAGAACATAAACTAGCAAAAAGAAACAGTAAGAAGAGGAGGGAGAGAAAGACACAGAGGAGGGGAAGGCAGGAATCCTAGGAATGAAAAACACAATGTTTGCCAGGCTGAGGGGAGGAGAGAAGAGGGAGGAGCACTCAATAGATGCGAGATTTCCTTTTGTTCTGAACTTGACAGTGGTGATGCTGAACAACATTTGAATACATTTAAAACCACTGAATTGCATATTTTTAAAATGGCTAAGATGGTAAATTTTATCTTATGTTTTCCACAATTAAAATAAAAATAGATAATTTTCAGATGCGGTAAGTGCTAGGACAAACCTTAGGGAGGGAGTTGTAATGGAGAGATCAGAGAGACTCCTTGAGAGTGGGTCGTCAGTAAAGAACTCAACATGTAATTGCAAAATGATAGATAGAAAGGAACCATCCTTGGGAGGGTTTGGGAAAAGGGGCTTCCCACACAGTGGGACACAAAGGGGATTGGAGAGATATATGGATACCATGCTGTAAGTGTAATGGAAGCCACCAGGCAGAGAAGTGAGGTATGCCCAAGACTTATTATATCAAATGGTCTTTGGTAGCTGATTGTGAGGCAGGGGGACGCCTGAGAATATGGTCACACTACGAATGCTCCAGGCAGGGTTAGCATTCAAGGTTGGGACTTCTGTGCCTGGAAAAGTCACATGCTGAGCACAGGAGGACCTAGATTCAACAGGTGAAGTTGCCATGGTTACTAGACGTCCCTAGAAAACAGAAGGGCCAGTGAGAAGTTCTGCATTCATGAAACTCCCATTGGATTGGCAGGAGTGGGACTGCTGGGACATAAAGGAGGCCTAGGAGGGTGACTCCCTCTGGCCCCAACTGGGGCTGCCTCTGGGAGCTGCTCAGGTCAAGCAGACAGAGAGGTGGACCAGGAGGTGGGAGGTCATCTTGAGCCCTGCTGTGAGGTATGGAGGTAATGGAAGCTGGAGACCCAGCACATCACAGGCTGGAATAGATGCAGGTCAAAGAGCCACCTGGGAGGGATGTGGGGATTCTGCCTCAGGGCTGGCTGTGTTGTGAGAATAAGCCGGCCTCCTGAGTGTGCAGGCTTGGTTCACAGTGTAGCTGATTTCAGCCACACTGAAGAAGAAAGCAGGAAGGAGGTCAAGGAAAGCTGTCTGGCTCCCTAAGGACACCCAGAAAGATGAGGCAGTGGACACAGAGGAACCAATTTAACACTAGCAGAATGTCAGTCATGGCAGAGCTGACAGGTCCAGCTGGGAAAGCTTCCCATATTATCAGAGCAGTGTGAATATGTGCCCTGACTCCTTATCTCCAAGACCACATCTGCTCCAGCCCTGAGAAACTGGGATAACTAGATAACTAAGCAAGTGCAGAAGTGACCCACAAGACTGTGACGTTTCTGATTCCCAACGCAGTTGGGGAGTTCTTGCAGGGCCATGGGAACAAAGCTGGAGGAGGCCGCATAGGTAGGGAAGGGGACTGGCTTAAATCTTAACAGGAACATAATGTTATAACGCATCTCACGTATAACAATGCAACTTCCCACCAGACAACAAACTTCGTCCAAAATATGATAAAACAATCAACATGATAAATAGCCCATCTCCCAAGCTACAGACCTGTATCTTCCATGACTGGGTAGAACATCTGAAGCTTCATGCCAAAATGGAAAGTGAAAATAGAAAAGAAGTGCCACATGATTAGAGGAATGAGGTATGCCCACCTGTGACCCCATTTCCTCTCCTGCCTTATTTAATGGCATAGTTCTAAGCCTTCACCCCAGCTTATATGTGTTGGTCCCAAATATATGTCCCAAGACCAATAAAGCCCCAAGGTGTTGTGAACTAGAATGATCCATGCCACCCTGCTTATTCCCAGTCTCACTGGGCACAATTTGAAAATGGACAAGTTCTTAGGCACACAGCACACCTTGTCCTGCCCTGTGCTATGCTGCCTATAAGTGCCATCAGAGCGTTACCTGAACCCTAAGAACAGTGAGGTCAGGCCTACTGGGAGCTGGGAAATGTTCCCAGAAAAGAGAGGGTGAGAGAGGAGAACAAAGGGGAGAGGCAGGACTGGGGACAGTGGCCAGGAGGAGGTGCAGCATCATTCCAGCTGGCTAAGACCCATCAAGATGGTGTTTAGGATCCCAAGAGGCCAGCACACAGCTCACCAGAGGCACTACAGATGCCTCTTTCAGGATAAATAGGAGGAAAGGGACCAGGAAGGAAGAGAAAAGATCCAGTGGGTGGAGACTGTCCTCTCCTGCTCCTGCCCAGAGCCACCACACAGCTGCCCTGCACCAGGCCTGGCTTCTGGCTGTTTTCCCTGTGATCTATCCACCAAAGATCAGGAGAAATAAAGCTCCATCCAGTTCACCAAAGCCAGCTCTTCATAATGCTGGAGAAACAAACAAATGAGTGAATGGATGAACAAGTGAATGTGAGCGTAGATTATTCATCTAATTCAAGTCCCCAGTTCAGAAATGAAAGAGAAAGCATGTATCAGTCATTAGACTCCACGACAAAGTCACAAGACGTGTGTTTTGACTTCATTTCTTAGCAGCTGGGTAAGCTTGGATACAATGCATCCTTTCTGTGGGCATCAGCTTCTCCTCCTGAAATGGAGTCACAGGAATTTGCCCTGCACCCCACATGGGAGGACTAAGGGTAGGGCAGGCACCTGGCAAATGGAAAACTCACAGGCATGGTACAGTGTCTTTGCACCATGAGGTTATGAAGAGGGCACCATGCATCCCAGACTCTTCCAACAAAAAGCTCTTTGTCCACCAGGCTCCTGGTGGCCTACCCAGATAGTTCCTAAGGACAAGGCTGAAGCACAAAGCTGGGATCCGAAATGGATCCTGACCCAGGATATGCATATTCCTCAACATGTTCCCCCTCTTTCCATTCTTCATAAATCTGAAAATTAATAACCTAGAATAGAATCTTCTGCTCCAGAAACCCATATGAATTTAATGTATAATTTATACATGAAAATGCAGATGTCAATATGAGACAAATCTCCATATAAATATTTTTGCAGTTAAAATTTTTGGGCATCTGTCTTCCTCCCAAAGGAGCCACCAGACACATGTGAGGCCTGGAGGCACAGGTCGGATGGGACTGGAAAGGTGACTGGTTATTTTTGCCAGCTAGTGATACAGCCACTAGTGAGCCACAATCTGCCCCCTCAGGGTCCTGCTGTGTCTTGTTCAAAATAGAGATTTAACACTGTATACCAACCTGCTCAGAGGTAGGCCCAAGGGAGAAGGGCAGAATGGAGTATGGCCTCACGCTCCAGTGGCTTTGAGTCTACTGAGAGCCAGGCAAGCAGATGATGAATGACAATGACAGTGTGGCAAATGCAAGGGCTGGGGTAAGTCCTGCATGCCCGTCAGCTACATAGGGACAAGTACTCCCTATGCTGGGGGACATCCCCAAAGACTCCAAGGGCAAGACAGGTTCTGACGGAGTCTTTCAAGTGGATGAAGGCAGGAGCTCATTCCCAATAGTAAGAAGCACATGTGCAAAGACCAGAGCAGGAGTGAGCACATCTTAAACTACATCCTGGTGCAAATTGGGGAAGGGCCAGCAGTGAGGCTGGAGTGAAAGGCGGAAGCTAGAGCCCCAAGATGCCTGTATGCCCAGGCCTTAAACAGCCCTGAAACAGCTTGAACTGAAGACTTTAAACAGATCAAAACTTCACTTCACTGGCTGAATAGTACAGAGGCCAAGTGGAGGGTCACCGAAGGGAAAAAGAAAGGCAATGAGCTTTGCAAAGTATAAAATGAGTGCAGTGCACATAAACGACCATTCCCAGCAGATTCTAGCCCAGGGGTCCTGAACAATCTCCTTCATTCAGGTGGACCCATCCATGGGCTTGATTGGCACATGACTTTGCATATAAACTGCCTGAAAGGTAGCACCCATCCTTCTTGTCTGCAGTTACTATTTCCATTTGGGGCTGGTGACTCATTGTGTGATGATATTCCCTGACACCCTTTCTCCAGACACCCAGCAGAGTTCCAGGCATAATCCAAACCATCCCCTTGTATGAGGAAACAGAGAGGCACAGTGCAAGACCAAGCTGAGAACTACTGAGCCATGCTCGCAAAGGAAGGAGGAACTACATGTCTCCATTGCACCCTGGCCTGAACCAGCAATGAGGTCAAGTACATGCCCTCCTTCCATCATGCAACTGCCAACTATGCCTGAGCTTAATCTGGCATCCCCAGGGTGACTTCACAGAACCTGGACATTCTACAAGAAGATAAATCAAGTCCACATTCTCAGAGACTTTGTAGAGCCTCTGCTGTGGTCTAAACCTATAGTCCTGATCTAAAGATAAAAGCCCAGGCTAAAGGGACCAAACACCACAGCTCAAGGGTTCTAAGCCCTCAATCCTCATCATACCAGTGCACATCTTGCAGAAGAGCCCAGGTTAGCCCCGCTGACTTTTCCACCCTCCTGGAACTGGTGAATGCCCAGCCACATACCTCGCTTGACCTTCGGGGGCCGGAGGCCGTCCCCCTGGGATAGGGCCTCCCAGGCCTCCCGCTCCCTCCAGCGCCTCAGCTGCTCCTCTCGCATCTTGTAGAAGAGGATGTGCTTCTGCACATCGCTGAGCTCAGCAAGGAGCTCAGGGTCTATGTACATGTCGTGCAGGATCTGCTGCAGCATGGTGCCACCTGCGATGCACACACCAGAAGGGCAGCTGACCAGAGCAGCCAGGCAGGATGCCCCCAGCCACTCTTCAGCCCTGGCTCCTCACTCGGGCGCCACTCTAAGTGCCCCGTCTCTGTGCAGCATCACTCTGCCTCAGCTCCCAGCCAGTGATGAGCATATCTCCTCTCCCCAGGACACCAGGGGACCAAGTAGTAGGAACCAAAGAAGCCTCTGGGACCCTGAAAGGAAAGCAGCCACCAGGAGAAATTGAGTCCCTCTGTTGGGCCACCAAGCACTGTATCCCAGCAGCACCTCTTTCTTGGACTCACCTCGCCTTCTGGAAAAACAGGGGCAGTCCAAGGTCTAGCTCAGCTGGGCAAGGCCCAGGCCCAACCCTGCCTGGGCCAGTAGGTGTCGAGTGATCTGTCAGTGGAAGGTAACGATGACACCAGCTGTATCAATGACATTGCCCTGGCCAGCTGGAGAACTGATCTCTCCTCTGCAGATAAGAAAAAGGAGGAGGCAGCTTTGCCTACTAATTCCCTATATTGGGGGCCAATTTTAAAAAGAGGCCAAAAGAGCCAGCCAGGAACTTCTGGGCTCCTCAACCCCACCATCTATCTACCTGCTCCACCACTGCCAGCCCTCTCCTTTCCAGGACATTTGGCAGACTGAGGTAATGCTTTTAAAACTTCGCATTGGGAGAGGAAAGATCTTTCCTCCTATCAATATTGTAGCCAAGGAGGGAAATGAAATGGTATCAACAGAGAACACCAAAAGGAGTACTGTCATGGAGTTCCAAGAAAGAAGAAAGCCAGATTTTCTTTCCCCTTTCCCCATTAGGAAACTCAAGCTGGGTGTGTGCTGAGAGACAACCCCCCCAGAGCCCAATGGGATGGTTGATGTTGATCTCCTTGTTGTTGCAGTTGTCTGGAGTTCACCAAATAGGAAGAATATGAAGCTGCCTCCTCTTCATGCCCTGATCTGAGGCACCTGGGCAGGGAAGGGCAGGATGATAGCGCCTTCTGCTTGGAGGGAAACCACCTCTGTTTGGCTGTGAGGGTGGGTGGAACTGCTTTTGCTGAGACCAAAGCCCCCCCTCCCTAAAAAAACAATGCTTAGAGGTACTTACAGTTAACTGCCCTTTTATTCAGATAAGGAAACAGGATTCAGAGAAAGTAAGTGCCTTGCCTGCAGCAACCCAACCAATAAAGTGCTGTAGGTTGGACTCGACCCAATTTTCTTTCTTTTTTTTAAGAGAGAGAGAGAGAGAGAGAGAGAGAAGAGAGAGAGAGAGAGAGAGAGAGAGAGAGAGAGAGAATTTTTTAATATTTATTTTTTAGTTTTTGGCGGACACAACATCTTTGTTTGTATGTGGTGCTGCACGCATGCGAGGCGAGCACGCTACCGCTTGAGCCACATCCCCAGCCCCCAATTTTCAAATCTAACTTCTTGTTGATGGTTTAAAAAATGTAACCCCACCAGGAGAAAATAAGCAAACAAATATGATTTGGCATTGTGGCTTGGTTGGATTAGTGACCTTTGTGTCCCCTTCTCTTCCCTTAGGACTCAAAGTGGATCGCACACCTGAGTGATGGAACGTGGTGGCAAGTGAGCTCCCTCGGCAAATGCAAGGACTAAGCAGGTTTCAACCAGCTTGAAGCCCACAAGGTCAAAAGAAATATAGTCTGGAGCCGCTTCCCAGGAACAGACAGCTTGTCCCAATGTGACCCAGACCTTCTGGGAGCCTCCACCCAGGTGTTCCAGCCACCTGGATGAGCTGTGGCTGTGGATCCTGCCCTGACCTCTTCTCTCCTTTCCCTACCTCAGTTTTGACTCCTCTAGGGGACATGGTTCCCTTTGGTTCTTGACTGAAGATCCCCAGCCCGCTCTTGCTCTGACCTTCCTGGCCTTAATTGTGGTTGGGCTGGGGGCAGCTCAAAGTCCAGAGAGAAGACCAGAGGAGGAAGGCAACCAAGGGAGCTGGCCTCCTACAGGCAGTGTCTTTCTTCCTTGGCTCCCCAGAGGCATGGGACAAGAAAGGGCACAGGGCCAAAGAGAATGCTGTTCAGAGCAGCAGCACCAGCCGGCTGGGTGTGGGAATGGGCATGAGGTCCTGTCCTCTGGCTGGGTGATGATGGTGTCATCCATGAGAATGACCCTGGCTTGCTCCCCGTCTTGTGCAACAGAACGGACCTCGCTGGTGGGAGGGGTGCTCCCTGGCAATCCCAGGTCAGTGGGGCAGGAGGCCAGGAGACACCGAATCCCGGGGACGTGACCGAAAGGCGGATCGCAGACGCTCTGCGGGATGGATCGGGTTTCGGTAACAAGTGGTGGGGGCCGCTGGGCAGTCCTGGGCGCCGCCTCCCACCTGGCTTTCGCCCGCCACTCAGGCTCGGCCTGGCATGGCGCGCCCTCTGGCGGCCGAACTGGGCACTACTGGGCTCCTCAGATAACAGGAGACAAGCAGCGAGGAAACCCCGCGGTTCTCAGACCAGGTTTCCTGCAGCCTTTCAACAGGCTGTATTCTGTTTTCATTTCTCATTAGCCATGTGATGCATTTATCTTTGCAGGCTAACGCAATTCCTTCAGGCGCCAGGAGATACGCGCATGCAATGCTATTGTGCAAGTGACTGGAAACCACCTGAAAGTCCCTGGTGAGTTCAGGGGTCGCCCACTATAAAACTGTATGCTCCAGTCACAGAGTGAGGTCGATTTGGCTTAACGAGGGGTAAGGGCCAAAGCAGATGAAATGGAAAGGCAACGTGTAGGATTCTGTGCACAGGACAATCCATTTTCTAAAGTCTATGTTTGAACATGGAACGGGAGAGAAAATAATAAAATAGAAATTCTGACTACTTTTGTGTAAACAAAGGAAAAATACAGATGATTTTACATCTAATTGTTTAGCATTGTTTCATCTTGGAATGGGGAGGGACCACTTTAACTTTTTCTGTGTTTTATAGAATGATTAGCATACACTTATGTAACTCACATGACTGAAATCAAATGTATTTCAAAAGTCCTAAAATGTGATCTATTAACACCAACCTCCCTCTGGAGATCAGCAGGGGACCCACCCCCAGAGAAGGGCCACAGGAAGAGTCAGACTCCCTATGCCAGGAAGTCAGGGTGGACAAACCATCATATCACCTCAGGTTCCCAAGCAGCAGAAGGGCTTTGGGACATTTCTGAAACAGCTTTGTCACTGGTGTGGAAAGGGTGCTAGAAAAACAGGAAGCAGGGGAAACAGCCACTAAATACTGGCCAGATCCAGGGGAGAGAAAATAAAGGGCTACACAGGCATTGTTAAGGGGTCAGATAAGAGTAGAATTGGGGGTCCCAGAGTCTTATCCAGAATCTCTGCTTCTACTAAAATCCTCTTAAAATTAAATCAGAGCATGTCATTTCTCTACTCAAAACCCAAGTTCTCACAGGGGACCACAGGCCCTTCATAATCTGTCCAGCTTCATACCACCCCTCATATGGCACCACCCACCCCTTTGCACCTGGTCACTGGATACAGCCTGCTGGCCTCACACTGGACAGCAAATACACTAGACATCTGCCTCCCCAGGGCCTCACAATGGCTCATCCCTCTGTCTAGACCTTACTTGGTTCAGTTACCAAATTCTAGTCTTGGCTCAAACTTTTAGCTCCCCTATCCTCCTGATGACCCCTCCCTTCCTCTGCTCTATAAACTATCATTTTATTTATTTATTTAGCAATAATATTTCTCTCTCTCTCTCCCTCCCTCCCTCCCTCCCTCCCTCCCTCCTAGATAATAACCACTCCAAGAGCAAGTGCTTCCATCCAGTTCGTCACTGATGTAGAATGCTCCTTGGCACATAGCAATGCTTGGTAAATACCTATAGAAAATGAATGAAGAAGGAACCTTCCAGGTGGAACTGGCAGAGCCTATGCAGATTCTGGGGAGCCATCCAGAGCAGGGCTCTGCAGAAAAGATGCTGGACACTTAGACCTAGGAGTCATGGGCTACATTAGGTGAATGGATAGCCTTGTCACAAGTCACCGGCTTTGGCTTCCCCAGCATGTCCCACAGTCCCTCACAGGCAGGGTCAGTGATGGCCAGAGGACCCTCTCATTTCAGCTACAGCTGAGCTTGGGCAAAGTTACCATGGAAGCATCAGCTACAGGAGGGCCCTTCTTACATTCTGTCCACCTTCCCTGGAGCATCATCACTTGGGAAGCTGCTTCTAAGAGTACTTACTTATCTTACTCGATCTATTTTGCAATCTAAGGGCTCAGTGAAAGTCAACAGTAGTTTCTGCTTGTCACCACCATGATGATACTTATGTCATCATGGACATAAGTATCAATAGTGTTCCTGCATGAGTGCAGCAACTACTTAGAAAAAAATGAGGTATATTTTTGAATAAAATAAAATAATGATTTAAGGAGGGAGGGAGAAAAAAAATGATGTATTAAATAAGATCCTGCTCACTACAGGAACCAGACATACGAAATACTAAGAATGAACTTAACAACGTGGGGACCTGTAACAAGGAAAAGTAGATCTTTTTACTGGGAGAATATGTAGGCTTTAAGTTGATCTAGGAACACAAGACATTCACAATCAGACAAGAACCAATATTGAAAAAATGTCCAATTAATCTCCATATCAGCCATTCAGCAAGAATGGTTCTCAAAGATCCCTACCTCCTGGATTTCACACCCGTGCCAGAAGGGAGTGTGCCTTCTATCAGACACTTGACCAGGCTCTCAGCTCTCATCATGCACTCAGGAAACCATGCTGTGAGGCCCATGGGCAGAACTGAGACCTCCTGCCAGTCACTAGTGAGGTTGGAAGAGGATCCTCCAGCTCTGCTCGGGAGAAATCTCCGCCTGGTCAACAGTTTCATTACAATCTCACGAGAGAGAGAGAGCCAGAACCACTCAACTAAGCTGCTATTATATTCCTAACCCTTAAAATGGTTATGAAAGGCATGTGTGTGGTTTATGAGCTGCTAAATTGGAGGATAATTTGCTATGCAGCAATACATAACTAATACTATCTCAAATTAATTTATGGACTTAATATCATTTCAAATATGAAAGGAAATTAGGAGAGAGGATTGATAAAATGATTCCCAAGTTAAACAAAAGAATGAATAGATGAGGGGCCAGGGGTGTAGATCAGTGGGTAGAGTGCTTGCCTAGCATGTGGGAGGTCCTGGGTTGGATTCTCAGCACCAAGAAAGAAAAAAGAATGAACAGATGAAACCAACTCCCCAAATACTGAGGAATATTGAACTCTATACTGCCAGTATTATACTCAATGCTCACATCCTCACTGTGGGGGCGGGGATCTTATGACATATGCAAGGATCATTACTGTGACATTTGCCATAGTGAAAATTTCAGAATAACTAATGTGTTCAATAAAATGTTTAGCTGAATAAATCATGGTACATCTATAGGATAAAATGCAGTGCGGCCATTGGAACTGAAGTTGAGGAGAACATTAGCATAAAGAGGTTGTTCAAGATGTGTTGGTCAAGGGGAAAGCAGGTAAACTGAGATTGGATGTATGTAGTACAGCCTCAGTCTTATATATCAAGACAAACAACAGTACAAGCCCCACTCCTTTCGAAGGAGTACAATTGTGATCTATTAAAGGTAGGAGGCCAGTTATATTGTGTGCATGTATGAATATGGAACAACAAATCCCATTTTTATGTACAACTATAATGCTCCAATTAAAAATATGAGAAAAAAAGGAAGAAGCCCTGCCCTTCTGGATACCTTGTTAGATTTGGAATTGATGCTAGTGAACTAGGGATTGTGAGCTTCAGAGAAGGCAGGGGAAGAAGAGAGAGAGGGAGTCATCTAATCTGGGTTGCAGTCCACCCTGCCCCAAATCTTCATCAATGTGATTTAATTCACAAAATGCTTGCTGTGACATCTTTATTATTTAAAAAATGAATTTTATCCAATTCTGTAAGATAAAGGTGGGGATAAACAGAGATCACTAAAGAGAAGTGATCTCTGTGTTTTGGGGTACATGGGCTTCTAGGAAAGTGGTCAGCAGAAATCATGGAGAAGTCTTGGAGTTTTGCTCACCATAGAAAACTGGTGACATCCAAATATCTCTAAAGGGCAGAACACCCATGGTGACATTTGTGAACAAACAAACAACAAAAAACTACTATATATATATATATATATATATATAGATATAGATAGTGTGTGTGTGTGTGTATACACACACACACCACACAC